ATTTAAATTTTCTTCTAGCTTGTATGCATTCAGTCTGTGGTTTGTTAGACATGCTAGGCAGATGTTGGTTGTACAGTATTTTCTTTTTTGATATTTTTTTTCTGCAAAAAAATTAAATGCGAATTTATACTTGGCTTGTTATCTGTTGTAGGTATACTTTAGAGGTGTCAATGTGAAGAGTTAAGATCATATGGAAAGCTCTGGTTGATTGTGTGCTGTTGTTGAGAAAACTGAATACTAACAGCTTGCTAACATATATGGTACTCTGTAGTGGTTGTGTGATTCTTCTTGTTTAGGCTACAAGAGCAGTGGAAAGAAATACCAGAGTGCCAAGAAATTCCTAAAACTGGAAAAATATGTTTGAAAACATTTTTCTGTTCTTTCTTGTAGAAAATGATATTGCAGCCTGGAGGGGTTTTTTTTAATATATTCTAAAAATCTCTTACACAAGACTTTCTGCTTTGTTTGGTTCATTGTTGGTCGTTTTTTTCTTATAAAGTAGTGGTTAGAATATTTTCCTTATTCAACCACTTATTAGCTTTTCAGATTAGTAAGACTTACTAAACTGTTTTCTCTACCATAGACATCACAGGCTATTGTCTCAGGCCTATGATACCAGGTAAAAATTAAGCTGTGTTGTGTTTGTCCATGCAAGATGTACTTTAGAGCATGCAGCTGTGACATGTCTCTGTTTTGCAAAGCTGTGATGCCAGTTGCACTTAATTATTTCTCCACACAGTTATTGTTGTCTCCAGACCACTGTATTTGACTTTGGGAAAAATCACTTCTCTTATTTGTACAATTCCCATATATAATGGTATTGGAAAGAAATCTGAGATTTGATTAAACTTAATCAAGGTGACTCAGTGGGCTTGTGAGGTTGCCAAGAGCAGAGCATGGGTCTCCAGACATTGTCTGTTGACTTCAGCTGCTTTCCAGGTACAGAGAATGGCTGATGAATGTTAATAACGCATAGGACAAATGCCAGCAACTGCTTATTTCCATTTATTTTATGAAACTGAAGAAAGTTTTTGTAAAAAGCATACATTGTTTTGGGAGACAGGAAATGGATTTATTTATAAAACTGGTTTTTATCACTCAAGTATTGTACAGCAATGAAGAGTGGAAGTAAAACAGCTATCTGGAAGCAGGAACCACCTGCTTGCTTAATTTATGTTCCATTCTTGCATATGTGGTAGTGCTAGAGCTTTCTTCTTCCAAAATAGCTTCACCGATGCAGTGCTATTTGCTTTTGCTGGCCCAGCACCTGGCAAGGTGGGATGTGTACTCTGGGGACAGCATGCAAGCCCCATGGAGAGTGAACAAGGTTTCTAGTCATTGTTTCTCCACTGGCTTCTTAACAGGAGTTAAGGAAGAGCAATAGGTAAGCAAGATAGCTAGATGTGGATGAAAATATTATCCATTTCCTCTTTAAGCGATTCATAGAACATTTTTCAGAGGAAAACCAAGATGCAGCAGTAGGTAGAAAGCACACATTGAATGTTTATACATTTTATGAAATAAACAGGACAGATTCAATTCATGAATGCAGGCTCTGCAGCCACTACTGTATCCCTGCATCAGGCAATGTTAATGGGGAAAGAAATTAATCTCTGACTGTCTGCAGGAAATCCACCTTACCTGGCTATGTTTTGAACTGTAGAAGATAAAGTCGCATGTACAGGCAGAGGGAACCCATTCCTCGCAGGCTGTCATTCCAAGTGGAAGATTGGAGGGTCAGTATGGGAGCAGGAATTCCATTACCTTTTATTTTAGGAACATGTAACTGCTGAATACTCACTTTGCTGTAAAAATCAAGTGAAAAAGAATTTGCAGAAGTTGACTTTTGAAATGTGAGTAAATGAAAGCAGAATTCTTTTGGCAGGTCCAACCAGTCTCTGAGAGAACACAGCTAAGAAATCAGAACTGGCTGATGGCCCATGGGGCTGATGAGCCAGTATGGTCTCACTACAGTCCAATGCAATAAATAGATAAATTTCGTAACTTCTCTGGTATGTGAGGAAAGTAAAGTCTGATTCTAAAATAAAGACTGCATTAGTAAGAAACTATTCAATGAACAGTAAGCACACAGATTTGGCAACTTACTGCCTCTAAGTTCTCTTCTATGTCAAGATACTTTGAACAAATGAAATAGGCTTGTATAAATCAAAATTGCATCCATCCCAGTTCACATTTCTAAGTTAAATGTGGGAGTTGACTTACTTGGTCAAGTTTCACAATTTTTCTGTTTAGTGACCACTGAAAACCTGAGTGAGGAAACCTTACTGAGAAAGTACTGAATGAGGAAATAGGGCACAGAGGCTGTTACTTGTGCAAAGTTCAGACCAAGTCTATGGCAGAGCTCCAGGTGAAATCCAGGCCCCATGGCCCCCCATTCAGTGCCATCTCTGTACTAGCTTTCTCTTTCCAAGGATTTTCAATGTCATCTCTGAAGAGATTAACGGATCCAAAGGTCACAGGCTGTGCATTTGCATGAAGTGAACGCATGTGTGATTTGCTGGAGGGATGTTGAATTGCTGGGGATTTTAATTTTGTTGCATTCTAATAGTAATGAAATCACAAACTGATTTTATGAACATTACACTTGACCCTTTGATGACACATGCTGTAGGCTGTGCAGATTCATACATGAAGTGGCTCAACTGGATGTCTCAATGCAGCAGAAATTGATATCAGCCCTCTGAGTGATGTAGATGATATGTTCTTCCTGGGTAGGTTTGAGATGTTGTGGCCACAGATACCCCGCTGAAAAGGCTTTCCATTAAAGAAGTTCACTGTGGTGGAATTATCCAACAGACACATTGCTCTTTCTTCACAGCATTCCTCTATTTATCTATTTCAATTTCTCCCATAATACATGGAAACTGATCTCTGCCTTCTGGTGGACAAAGAGAGTGATTCTAGAACAATTTTGCTGACAAAACTCTGCTATATGGAAAAGCATTCTTAGAAGAAATCTGACTTATGCCAACAAAACAGTGGGGGATTTTGGCACTGCTTATTTTAGTGCCTTTTGAATTATTTAAATTTTTCTCTTAGCCAGATTTCATCTCCTCATATTCCTAATGTGCAGCGCCATGCCAACAAAAATTAGTTAGTTTTGGATCAGTTAATCCTCTGGAGATGAAAAATTATAGCATTACCACAGGTAGAGGTTAAGTAAGATCTCTGATGTGCCACTTTCCAGGTATTTGTGTTTGCTAGACAGCATGTACTTATAGACCCTCTAATCTCATAGTCAGCTGTAAGATGAGGGCCTGTGGATACATTTAGCTACTCAGGTACAGTCCCATAGCAACCTGAGGAGAACCCAAAGCATTCTTTTGGTCTTTCACCACAAACTGCAGTGGAGACAGAGCAGCATGATAGCCACTCTTCCTTTATACCTTAACTTCAAGTTGCCTGAGTGTACTGCAGACCCCAGACATACTTCCTTCTTTGCTGCATTGTTACTGATTCAGACATTCTCTAAGAAGGTTGATATCTTTGATTTTAACTGACCTGAAATATGGTATGTTCTGGGAAGTCCATAAGTCTCTTAGTTAATTTCTCTTACTTCTCTTACTTCTAACTAGAAAAAATAATAATTGTCAAATAGCAAATAATCTGTAATAACAAAGCGTAACGCTTGGCTGTTAATAGCTACTTAAAATATTAACTTTCCACCCTAGATACTCCCATTATTCTGTATTTTTTCCAAGCTGTCCTTGTAACAATGTACAGGAATGTTTCTGAAGCTCAGTGCGCTTTCAATTACCTGATTCTTTTATGTCTCTGGGAGGTAAGTTAATACAGTTACTCCTAATTTATAGACAGTGTCCTTGTGGTATGTGTACCATCTGGACCTGAAGTACAGGCCTGAAAGTACTCAGTGGACTACACTCACTAGGGAATAATGACCCATGCCAGCATGACATTTAATTGCAATATTTATGAGAATTATTTTACCAGATTACTAAAATAAATGTATGGGAGAGACAACAGACCTGAGGGAAATTACAGAAGTAGGTAAATAGAGATTTTTTTTCAGCTTTTAGGAAGCTTCCACACGAGCATTAAGGGCTAAGACAAGCTTAGAATTTGTATATGTGGGTTAGATCTCTGAAAGAATTAGCTATAATATTGCAGTGCCATCAAAATGGTATTTGCATGGTGTACCAGGCTGTAAAACTAAGGCAACGCACAATTTACATAAACCTCTGAAAAGCAACAGGGAAGCACATGCTTAACACAGACTGTCTGATAACTGTGCCTCACAGCTTGATAATCATAATTAAATGCTAGCATTATATTAGCCAGACGTTTTCCCCAACAGCACCCTTTTGTGGTTCCTTTGCATTATGTATAGAGCACACGTGGCATAAATTTTCTACCCTGGACAGAGCTTTACTTAAAGATCATCCCAAACAAGAAAGTGCCTTCAATGCAAGTCATAAAACTACAAAAGGGAAGCATACTCCCTCATCTCTGACAGAATGACTGTTGCTTGTATAGTAGGCTTCTATTGAATTTGATTGTAAACCTTTCCCCCAGGTTCTCCTACCCACAGCAATTGACAAGTGGGAAGAGGACCAATCCCATCATTCTCCGAAAAGGAAAAGTGCTGTTTGACCAGGCTTCAGCTGGAGGACTAAAAAACTACAATCAGTGTCTGAAGATGGATCCTTTAGATTGCATTGTCTGAGAAGGTGTTTCTCTTCTTGAAAGAGTTTCCACATAAGCAAGCAATGCTTCTGATTCTGCAGATTCTTAAGTGCTTTATTCATTTTATTTCATTATTCTGACTTTTCACAGGAAATATAGGCTATTTTCAAAATAAGCAAATCATAAACAATTTTTTGTTCCAAATTTGTTTCCAAAAACCTTAATAAGCTTAAGCGCTCTTCATATTTGTAGAGTAAGTATAATACTTTCCAACATAAATGTAAATGTCCGTTTTGAACATAGAAAATATTTATTTTTTGTTCTATTAACATAATGCTATGTTAGCCAAACAGGTAATTTCCAGTTCTTATTCTTTCAAGGGCTTGTGTTCAGGAAAAGAAGCTGACAGCTTTGATCTTTAAAGAAATTGTTTCTTGTATTCATTGTACATACTCGCGAACTGCAAGTTCTTTCAGGGTAAAAATACGAATGGGATCTTTTTTTGCCTTCCATTCTTCCAGTTTTTCTTGCAAAGACAGAAAATCCTTGCCAAGTTCATATGCCAGAGTGATCATTGTTTCTAACAATGGGATATAATACTTGTGGCTAGTATGCATACAAAGGCGCGACAGAGCTTTTTCTCCATATTCAAAGGCACTTGCTGGGTTTTCCAGGTCCTTGTGGCACACCACTATGGCACACAGAGTAGGGACAATTGACACAGGGTTGCCTCTCGTCAGCCTTGCTTGCAGACCAATGACTTCCAAAAGGATTTCCAAAGCTTTGGTGTACTGGCCACCCCGCAGGCAACCATATGCTTCCTGAAGCTCCGGCCTTGTTAAAAAATCAATAAATTTTTTTGATCTTCTGATATATTTCATAGAATATACAAGTCTCAGGTAGTCCTTGAAGGCTAATTTTCTTTCGTTGATTATTTCTTCTGTGAAGTTCCCTGTCAGAGTTTTTTTGGGAAAAGTAACATCTTCCATTTCTTCACTAAACTCCTCCAGCAGATTTCTGTGCAGTTTCTCGAAATCTGAATAGCGGCGTTCAATTACAGACTTGTTGCTGTCAAAACTCCCTGTTTGCAGAATGATGATTTTATACATCTAAACACAATAAAACAGAAAAACAAGCATGAGAAGGACCATTCTTGCCCCTGTGCAGTCAGATTTTGTCTATTATTGTTTTGAAATCTGCAGCCATCAAATTAATAATTCCTACCTCCTGCTGTTCTGTACTTTTTTCACCAGATTTAGCCTTAGAGTGTAAGTAAGTTGTAATGCACTAACAGATCCCATGCGGCAAGGTGTTGGGAATGGTGAACTAGCAGCAGGATGGCTCAAGTAAAATCACTTAACAAAGCCTTTCTGTAGCTGAACTCTGTTTATAACAGCCATGGCTGCTGCAATCAATCATCTTCAGTGAAGTGAATGGATTTCCCAGCCTTAATATTGAATGCAATCTATTTCACATTGTTCGTAATACTCAGAAATGCTGTTTGTATCAGACATTTCTAGGGATTTGGGGGTATTATTAATGCTGTGAAAGAAGAGGGAGTATTTGGCAGTAATATTTGGTGTGTGCAAAAATAAGATGGAGCAACTCCAAAGCCTTTTCTCCCCTCTAAATCATTGTCCTGTTATGCAAACTTACTTGGCATATAAATAACACCAAAAAGTGACATTCCTACAGCAATCCATTTGCCATCCAAAAACCTTCAGTAACAGCAAAGCTGTCCCACATTATCAGTACTCAAGAGTGTGTCTTCTTCAGCTCTTCACTACCCTCAAAATGACTATAATAAATGTGATATTAGCAAAATAGCTGCAAAATAAATTTGTGTGTTGTGTTGTATGAATAGATTCTCTTCTGATCCTGATCCAAGCAGAATGATGCTGAGGAAGGGCCAAATCCCTGATGTGCATAAACCAGTGGAGGTCCACTGAGGGCAGCTTTACTGCTACACTGCACACCAGCTAAAGACATGCACTGTTGACTTTGCTGGCTTCTAGACGATGACCATGTTCATATTCAACTTGACCCCATTCTCATTGAATTATATGGAAACTGGAGCCATTGTACTCATGCCAGTTGTTTTCTTTGCTGCCGTTGAAGACTGCAAACCAGTATTAGAACTAGTATCTGTCTGATTCCCTTCCTTGTTTTTCCTTAAAAAGAAATTCTCTCTTTTAATCTTCATAAATGCTCTTTACAGGCGCTCCTTGAAAGGTTTCTAAATTTCAGCTGACTTCTCTGATCTCTTTTCATTTGTAAGTACTGTGACATTTTCCTATACTTCGTCCTGCTCCCTGCTGAAAAGTGTATATATGCCTGATGCATATCGAAAACAATGATAAAAGCAACTTTTTAAGCTATCATTTTATCAAGGGCAGCTAAGTGAATAACTTACAAATACTTTTCCTTTTCTTTGTGGAGTGTGCATGAAAAAGGGATGAAATACCATTTAATTACATAATCATTCCAATTGGCTCAATTTTGTTGTAACATACATCTTTTTGCCTAGGCATGTAACTTATGACTAAGTCTAACTACTTGCACATATACTGAATCATACTCCTGCTCTCATTCAGATATACTAAAATAATTTTTAACTGTTCACCAAGTTGGATACTATTGAGTGTATGCAAGAATAGCAGCATCTAAGTAGGTGTGTATAGCATGCAACAAGATCTTAGGACAGTCTCCCAAACATTTACCCACTTCATATTCTACTAGGCTGCACCACTCAGTATCAGGAACACTAGCATGATTCCTAGCATTTTTCACCTACAGATCTCAGAGGTCCTTGCAAACAAGCAAAACATCTCTATTTCACGAGAGTACTGAAAAAGACTTGCTATAGATAGTCCCCCCTGAAGGCCGGGACCAGAACCAGAAATAAACAAGTGTCGGTACTGTGAGTAAAGATACAAAAAGATACAAAAATCCAACTTTTTCTATTGCTCTGTCCCTCACATTAATGTTTCACCTTAAAAATATGACAGAAATATGCCATCTAATGGAGCTCTAGGTAGGGAAGGGGAATGATCACAAGTGATCTAGCTGGAGGATGTCTTAGACTTTGTCAACATCAAAGAATTTTGCACTTGTGTTAAAATAAATCTCTGATGGTGAAGTTGTACAAATGCAATGCAGCTGCTACAGCAGGCTAGCTCAGTGGAAGTGTAACTATATTGATATTTTTATACTTGTGTGAATTTCCTTAATGTTGACAAGTCTCTGGGTGTTAAGGACACTCAAGCTACCAATTCACATGATATCATGTTTCCATTGCTGCAGATTTTGTGAACTGATTGTCAGAGGAGTTTTTTAGGGGCAGATTCCACCAGTTATGACCCTATGATCAGTGATAACAAGTTCTTTCTACTCAGGATGGTCACGGCTTGCAAAACTTGGCCCTCAGTAAGGCTTTCATGTAGTGAAGCATGCTGTGTGCTGTACAGACCCCTGTAGAGTGAATAAAAACTAATGACCTTCTTACATATTCATTTTTTGGCTTACCACATATTTAGATAAGTGATGCTCTACAATTCTGGTTGATGGGATTTCAAAAACAAGCTTGACTTGCTTGCACTGGCGTTTTTCATTCCTCCAGTATTCCTGAAGCTCCTTAGTGGTCATTGAAGAGTTGGGACTTAGGGATGCACAGGAATCTAAAACCAATAAATTTAGTGTTTCAGATTATAACCTTTGCTTTTGGAAAGAAAACGTATGCATTTATTGTGAAATGAAAGCCTAGAATTTTTGCTGCTATAAGACCTAAAGACTGATAAAGTAAGTGATTTCACTGCTAATAAAGACAGATCCAGATTCTTTCAGGAAAGCTATTGTGGTCTGACATTCTGAAAGACACCAAATAGTCTGCAGAATACAAATTATAGAAAAATTGCTGACAAAAATTATTGAACATCTAGGTTGTAACCTTGGGCATGGTCTAAGAGGAGGTAGGCTTCACCTTCCCAGAAACAGCCCTAAGAAAAGCTGACTCAGTCTTCTGAATCAGATGTTTCTCCAGACTTCTTTGTTGCTATAAGCAGGAGATAATACACTGCATATATTCAAGCACTGACTCTATTCAAATATTGAGCTTGTACAGTAATGGATGAAAGCTGAGAACACCCGAATGTCCTAACCCGACAGGAGAAACTTGGACATCCAGTTCAGCCAAAGGAGGAATTCTCATGTCTTCTTTTACTTTTGTAGCTAAATTGATGCCACAGTTCAGCTACAGATATTTTATATACCTCCCTCCCTTCCTCTCTCTCTCCCTTCACAGACACACGCAGAGGCATATAGACACATGGATATATAAAAATGTAGGACAGCTGATTGAAGACTTTGCTTACAGGGGAATTTGATGTAGTTTTTCAAAAGGGTGATTTCTGCCTTTGAAATCTACTGACAACAGTTTTCATCAGGTGGTGTATGGGCTAGGAAAGTGGATAAAAGAAATGGAGTATTCGTATTTCAGTGGGCACACTGGTCCCAATTTCATATCAATAATGTCTCTGTCAATGCAGTCACCTGAAGTCAGTCTGCAATATATTTAACATTCAGTCAATGGAACTGAATGACCACAAATGAATGGGAAGATAACAGTTTGATGCAGCAACAGAATTGTAAAGGCACCACAGTACTCCTTTAGTGGCCCTACTTTTACATGTTCTTAATCATTTGGCCATACAGTTTCAATTATCAAGGCCTTTGGGGTTTGGCTCAATCTCTATGAAGCATATATTTTCCTAAGAGAGGTGGTGTTTATGACATCTTTGCAGGCTGAAAATCTTGATGAGATTATATATATTTTGGATTATACATAACATTTCATTTAATAACAGATGTGAGCAATCTTAGGCATAGTGAATGTTCAGTGCTGCCTCTCCACGGGGTATTTGAGAGACTACTGATTGAGATTAGCTTCAGGCTTGGTATGCTTGTTGATATTGCCAGTAAGTTCAGATTTTGTGATATGCAGAAAGTGCACTTGAGAGACAGGCCATGTGATTATCACCATTTTGATCCCTGTGTGTAAATTAAATCTTGAATATATTTTAGGTGCATGGGATTTAAAACGAAAGCTCTCTGTGTGTATATAAACACCAGGATGTGTTTCACTACTGCCACATCATTACTTCAAGTTTAATCAAGGCTTATTTTCAGTGGAATACAGCAGTGTAAATCTGGACTACTGCAACAAATAAAGCAAAGTTTCTAATAGAAGAAGCTAATGGCATAAATAGCCACATGAAAAATAAAATTAAAGGGTAGCATCAACCTTGCAGGTCATCTTTTTCCGGGTTTTCTTTTCTCACTTGACATGAAATTTCAGCTTGGGGTTGATTTTGTTCTTTATCAGATGGACTTGTGGTAGAAAACGTAGTAATCCTGCTTACAGCTTCCAACAGTTCCCTTTCTGCTGTGAAATGCGAGTCTTGGTCCATTGCAAGGTCTCACTGAAAGATTACAAAAATGACATTTCTTAGTAGCCTGCCTTTAGAGAATGCAGTCTGGTAATCTTTTTTATTGACTTACTCATTGTTCTCTGTGAACTTGTATAAGGGCAATCACAGATTCATAAAAACTAGAGTAATAAATAGAAATATTTATGTAGGTACCAGTGAAGAACCATTTCTATTATCATTACCAAAGAAAGTGTTTGGGTATCTTTTTTGCAAACTAAAATCAAACATGAAAAACATAAGAAGTTATGTTGAATAAGATTAGGTAGGGAACTCCATTCTTATCTATGAGAATTTTGGCATACGCTTCTGTGGAGGCAGATTTTTTCTGCCTGTTATTTTGCCCTCAAGCTTGCAAGTATGAGTTCAGACGAACTAAAATCTTGGAGATAATTAGTATAAGTAGCACCCTGGCTCCCTTATGCTGCTAGAATTCACTGTTCTTAAGACTCCAAAACTGTTCATAATTACAAATTGTAGGACAAAACAGGGTGATATCTAATCTAGTATAATATTTTTTTCGTATTTCACAGATTCAAGTTCTCTCCAAAGCCTTGTCTCTGTACTAGGAGAACAAAACAATTGAATCTGACAATGGCTAGGAGGAAGGAGAACTGAGTTTTCTAATTATTATACAGAAGAATTCTCCCTTTACTTGTCCTTTAACCTATATAATGTGCTTGTAGTAGATATATATGTCTGTTCTGATATGATAGGACAACTATTTTACCAAACTTCACACAGTATACTCTTTGCTGGGGTACTGTGTTCTGTTAGTTAGCATGAGAGAACTGTTGCTCACAATTCAGTCAATGGGTGAAAATCAAATGACAGCACAACCTACTGCTACAAATGTAAAATTAATGTCCAAGCAGTGGTTATTAAGTAATGAGAGGTTTTAGGACAGGAATGTTGCTACATATCATCTTGCCTCCACTTGTCTACCACACAGTTATGCAATGCTGGATACAGAGGTGAGGAAACTTATTCAGCAGACATCCTGATTGCTGGCAAGCTGCAAGGCCATACAATGAAAAGCAACTATTTTCCCTACTGGAAATAACGGAAATGCAAACCGCTTTCCTCTAACAGAAATCCTTTTTCCTTTGCCTGGCTTGGATAAGCAAGTACAGACATGTTATCATCCTTCTTAATAAGAGCATCATGGAAACCCTTAATTTGGGACTTTGGATTAGGAGGTAGAAGTTCTTACTGTTCTTCTAGTCCTTCTTAAGATCTGCTTTCTGAACATGAAGAATAGCATTGACTGTCTAACTGCTCAGTCTTTGGAAAACCATAACAGTTTATGTCAAGAGTATATTTGTTTTTAATGTAAAGATAATATAAAATATAGTAGATTAGATATCTGAAAACAGCCAAATAAATAAAAATTACAACTCTAAGCTTGGTTTTAAGTTGGTATAGCCTCATAAGCACAATTGTATTTACGCTGAAAATATGTATCATTTTATATACATATAACTTTATATACACAAAATATGCTTGTATGTCTCTGTATATAAACACCACTTTAAAACGTGATTTGCCAGAGAAACACACTTGTAAACCGAAGAATGCAGAGGTGAATGTTACGATATACAAGTCTTCTGCCTTGAATATGTCTTGAAAACTACCTGTACTTCATAGAAACAGTTTCATTTTCACAACTAAAAATCATTATAAGCTCTTTTAACTAAGCTGCAATTCATTTTTACATATATATATATATTAAAAAAAGTCGAAACAATTCAAAACCCCTGAAACAAATTACACAGTTTTACTCTGAACAGATGCTCATCCTGTTCCATTTCAGGGTAGATGCCAGTCCAGCTGCTTCACTGAGTTGTAGGTAACACCAGAAACCAAAGTGCGCAGTGTACTCACCTCGAAACTGCTCAAGAGCTTTTAGTTGTGGTGTCTGCGTAGTTTGTGCGAAGTCACAAAAAGCCTGCTTCGCATTTTCAAAACGCAGAAAAATATGTCTGTGCTTTCTTCTAACAGGCACATTCTGTGCTTCACAAAAAGGAAGGAAGAAGCCTTGATTAAATCAGACTTCCTCATCCAATTGGCTCACTGTTTCAGTGCTGACTGATTACGCATATTTCCTATCTGTCTCAAACAGCCCCTGCGCTGTCTGCGGCCTGTTGCCTGCAGTGCAGCTCCAGCAGCAAGGGCAGGTTTGCAAACCCAAGCATCAGGGCTACACCTGCAAACATGAGGTCTGGCAGATGAAAGACTTCAACAGTAAACACAAGTACAAAATCATGGAAAACTTCTCTGCGTGGATTTCTGAAACCAGAAAAACAAACTTAGCAAAAGAGAGGTTAGAAAGAAGAGCCAAATATGTAAATGTACTTATGTGGAAAAATATGCCCCTTGGGACATCTTTAAACTACAGACTTAGCATCCAGTTCAGAAAAGAAAATGCAGCTGGGACCACAATAAATAGCCTTACTCTATCTAAACTTGCAGTTCTGACAGAAATCCCGACTTTGTGCAGTGCTTAAACATGATTAATTTCAAATACCTTGTTAATTAAAGTTCAAAAAGAAGCATTATCATATCTGACATGACTACTAAATTTGAAATGGGCTTACGTGTGTGCCTAAAATTAATCCTATGCTTAAACTCTTTGTTGAACTGAGGGCAAAGTGAAGAAGAATGATGCATTAATCCACAGGTCCTTTGGCCCAGATGATTCTTTTTGCAGTTCACTTTAGAAATTTGCTTTAAAGCATTGGAACAGCTATTTCTGGGGTGAATAATATGAACACTATCTTTTTTTAGTAATGTAAGTTTCCCCATTGCCAAAGCTCACTCATTGAAAAACCAAGTGATTTTAACGCAACACAAATGTGGGAGGCAAACATCCAAAGGACCACATGGATCCTGCCCCACACATTCCTTCAGAACAAACAATTTAAAATAATGTAAAACCAGGGCCATCAACTGGCAATGCTTCTCTTCTGCCTTATTTGCAACATAAAACAATGCCAACTTCAACTTGGACACAGTCTAAATATAGAAGTTTTGCCAAAATAGCTGTCAGAAGGATGAAAATAAACTCCCATGCAGCTACAGCCACACTGGCAAAAGCGCGAATGTAGATGCTGTTATATTGGCAGTCCTTCAGCCAGTTTAGTGTGTTCCATGCAGAAAATGATTTAAGTTATACCAGAAAAGAAATCTGTGCTTGCCAATAGAGCTCTAAGGTGTAGCTATACCAGCCAACCCTTTTAAGTGTAAGACAAGGCATGGGTTTCTGGCTTAAGTCTCATTCCTTTAAAGTTGGATTTATGGGTTTGGTTACAATTGTAAGCAAAAACTAAGGGGGATTTCAGTGCATTTCACTTATGCTGACAATTCACAGATGTATCTGAACTTTGAATTCTGAATCTGTTAATTTATTTGTTGCCAAAAAGCAATGTATTATTTTGTGATACTTAGTGCTATTATCCTGCTTTTGATAAACCTAAAAAAGGATAGCATATCAAGTATGATTTCTACTTTAAATTATTTCAGAATAAGCAAGTCCTAATCAGATGAACCTGGATCATTAAAAAAAAAAAAAGGTGAAATCTGTTACTATGAGCATGGCTGACTAAGATGAAATAATTTACAAATCAAGATGTTCTGTGAGAATTCTGCCTGCCTAAGTTTAGCCAGTTGTTATAGTCACAGCTGGTTCCTGAAGGGGTTTCTCATGCCCAGGAGCCATGACATCCGCTGAGGCTGCTCCTCCTCACCCTGCTCCCATGAGCTTGGGTTTGATCCAAACAACCATTCACTGGGACCCAGTGCTTGTAGTCTGGCAGCATTTTACTTCCTAAATGTCTACTTGATTACCACATTCAAAAAACCTGTACAGTATACAGTGGTGGTTGCTAGCATCATGTGTAACTAGTACCTTTCTCAGTTCCACTTCCAACAGTCAAACACCATGTAAAGGGTTAACAAGTGGAAAGGGGGAATTCTCACAACAGCAGCGTACCATTCTGAGAGATGGGCAAGTGCACTGACACCATCAATTTATCTGACTATTCATAAAAGTGTGGTAAATTTTAGTGCAAAACCATGTCATAGTCAGTGATGGAAAAGGGATCTTCATGCACTGGCTTGCTAAGAGTCTGTATTCTGTGAAAGCACTGATTTTGGCATACATAAAGAACAGTGTTAAAATGCATCTACTAATGGATATGGAAAAAGAGGGCTCTGCAATAACATAAGAGCAAGGCAAAGTTAAAATCTGAATGCTGCAGAGCATGGAAGTTGTTGTCATAGGAGTTAGGTCCTCCATGCTGCTTTAAGATGAAAGGACTCACTAGGAAGACTAACCTGAAAGTTTATGTCTAAAACTTGGTAACCAGCAACCAGATGAGCTAGCCTTGCAATGCCATGTTAAGGATGCCTGTGTTGCAAACCCATGTTTCTGCTTTTATAGTTAAAGAACCAGCTGCAATAGTGTAAAACATCCTGCCTTGATTTGTACCCTAGTTTGGGCAGTTCCCGTGTTCCCAGTCAGATAGATTACATAAACACAGACATGATATTTAACCATATAATACAAGCCGGTGTCAGCTTGAAAAATTGCGAGATAAATCAGTGTTACACACAACTGCAGTTTACTGCCAGATTTTATTGGCATTTTATTATAGGCATAGCAAGGTCTCATTCTTTTTCAAGAATGTGGCTGTAACAATCCTATTCCAAAATACTCTTCAGCTTCTGTTCTCAGAAATACAGCTTTGGGCAGCCTCATAGAGTCTGTGCTGCTTTCCCTCTCAGGCCCCAAACTATGAAAGTAAACCTTATTTTACCACATCATTCATTAGTGCTGTAGATAATGAGAAACAAGAAGAGGAGGCAGAAGTACCTAACGTAATTATCCAAATCCCTTTTATCACATAACTAATATTTAGAAAGTGCTGTAATGTTGTCTTTGATGCTTCTACAAGAACCTTTCCTGTCTGTATTAATACAGC